AAATTTTGGGCTCAGACCCAGGCACAACCTGAGGGAAAGTGATGGTGAAGAGTCACATGGCCAAGTGACTGGAGTGATGCACCCACGGGTCAAAGAACACTAGGGATGACCATAAACACCAGAGGCTGAGAAGCAAGGGAAGATTCACTTTCAGAGCCGTGAGCAGGAGCCAGGCCTGCCAACTCCTTATTGCAGACTTCAGCCTCAGAACTGGGAGTCGACACATTTCTGTTGTTTTACAGTACCAGCTGCTGGTGCTTTGTTCTGACAGCCCTAGGAAATTAATAGGCACAATTTCTGGGAAGCCTGAATAAATATTTTGCCAACTCTCCAGCTCTCAGGGGTTCTGCACGGCAACAGGGGAAGTCAGATGACACTGGCAGGAGAGAGCAACAGAGTGGAGCCTTTGTGCTGGTGCCTGCAGGATGGTGGGGGTAACTGTTAAGCTGGGGCCAGGATTCTCAGCCTTGAGTTGGCATTCAAACAGAAAGGTTAAAAGTTAAGTGTCAGAGGCTGTGGAGATGTCTCTTTGAGTAAAGTGCTTGCCTTGCAAGCATGGAGACCCGAATTAAATCCCCAAAACCCATGTAAAAAAAATGTTACGCAAGCCAGGCGCGGTGGCCCATGCCTCTAATCCCAGCACTCGGGAGGCAGAGGCAGGTGGATCTCTGTGAGACTGAGGCCAGCCTGGTCTACGTAGCAAGTTCCAGGTCAGGTGATGTTACAGGGAGACCCTGTCTCAAAAAGACCAAAATAAATAAATAAATAAAAATTAAAAATGTTAAGTGTAGCACAGGCTTATAATCCAAGCACTAGGAAGGAGCCAGGCAGATCCCCGGTGCTCACTGGTCAGTCAGCCTAGCCTACTTGCTGAGTTTGAGACCAGTGAGAAACACTGTTAAAAAAAAAAAAAAAAAAAGGTGGAGGGTACCCAAAGGACAGCACTTGAGGGCGTGCTGTAACCTTTGCTTGTACCTGCACCCATGTCACATGCACCCAGTGTACCTGCATCCATATGCATATTCACAGACACAGTGTACCTGTACACACACGAGCATGCACATACAGTGTACCTGCAAACATATGAACACACATAGTGTACCTTCACACACATGAGCATGCACACACATAGTGTACTTGCACACGCATGAACATGCACACACAGTGTACCTGTACATGTCACAGTGTACACACACATGAATCTACACACACCACAGTGTACCTACACATGCATGAACATGCATGTTCATGAACACACACACACACAAACTTGCACACAAACAAATTAAGGGTCATGATATTTCTTTTGCATAGTGCTGGAGATTGAACCCAGAGCTTCAACATTTAAAAAAATATATATTTTATGGGGCTGGAGAGATGGCTTAGCGGTTAAGAACAGTGGTTGTTCTTGTAGAAGACCTGGATTCAAATCCCGGCACCCACTATGGACAGTTGGCAGCTAACAACTGTCCATAACTCCAGTCCCAGGGGATCCAACGGCCTCTTCTGACCTCCATGGGCATTGCACGAAATGGGTGCACTCACCTACATGCAGGCAATACACACATAAACATAAAATAAAAAAATAAATAAAATTTTGCCTCTTTTCCTGCAGAAATAGGGCATGATGACCTATTTTTTAAAAATATTTTATTATCTTTTTTTTTTTTGGTCTTTTTTTTGAGACAGGGTCTTCTTGTAGCCCCAGCTGGCCTGGAACTCAGTATGTAGACCAGGCTGGCCTCGAACTCACAGAGATCTGCCTGCCTCAGCCTCCCGAGTGCTGGGATTAAAGGCATGTGCCACCACGCCTGGCAAAAATATTTAATTATTTTTATTTTATGTGTATGTGTGTATTGCCTGCATGTAGGTGAGTGCACCCGTGTCATGCAATGCCCAAGGAGGACAGAAGAGGCTGTCAGATCCCCTGTTATGCCCTCTTCTGACTTCTGCGAGCATTGCACAATATAGACATAAAATTTAAAAAATAATAAAAATTTTAAAAATTAAAGCATTGTTATCACGGAGCCAACCGCCAAGTGCTTGGTTTTAAATTTAAGTCAAGGCTCTACTTTTACTTACTGTGCCAGCTTGGGAAAGTGACTGAACTTCCTCACCTTCAGATTCCTCATCTGTAAAATGGGAATATATGTTTCCCCTCCTCTTAATCTCATTTTTGAGGATTCTGCCCCAGCTTTCCAGGTCTACTTTGTTGCCTGTTCTCAGGAAGACTTCGTTCCTCAGGAGAGAGGATGGGGATGGCTGTTTTCATATTATGGTGCAAATGACTGCTAATCTCTCCAAACAGGAACTTGCAAAGGACTCCTTAAAGCTGCCTCTTGGGAAAGGCTACTCCTGTGCACAGAAAGCAGGAAGCTTCCAGTTGAAGGATGTAGGGAAGTCAGCCTGAACTATCTTGGTTCCCAGGGGGCAGGGATAAGGCCAGGCAGAAGTGACCCAGGTACAGGCAGAATGATTCATCATGGACACCCAATTCTCCTGTGAGCCACATGAAAACAGCTTTCCCTAACTCCATGGCCCTGCCCTGCTCCTCCCATATACTGAGTGTGTACTGACTAGGTTATGAAGTATGTCCTGATGGGCAGAAAGTGCCTCTAGCTTTCAAAAAGCCTACAGCCTGGCAGAGAGGCCTGGACTATATAAGAAAGATACCCTAGCAAGAAAACTGCTCCATCATCTCTGCTCCAGCTTCTGCCTCCAGGGTCTGGCCTTGAGTTCCTACCTGGCTTCCCTCCAAGATGGACTGTCACTGGGAAGTTGTTTTTGGTCAGAGTGTTTGATCACAGCAAGAAAGCTAACTAGAACATAACCTAATAAAATGTTTTGTGATACCCAGAGGAGGAAGTCCTTTCCCCTCCTTTTTTTGGTGATAGAGATGGAAATCAGGGATCCGTGTTTGCTAACCACATGCTGCACACCAATCCTTTTGTCTTTCCAAGGATATCTTGATTGTTCTGTTTCTAAAAAAATTTCGATTTATTTTTATTTCATGTGTATGAAGGTTTTGCCTGTATGTATTTAAGTATACCACACGTGTATGTGCAATGCCCACAGATTCCAGAGAGGGCATTGGATCCCCTGGAACAGGAGTTATAGACGGTTGTTAGCTGCCATGTGGGTGCTGGGAAGTAAACTGGGTCTTCTGTAAGAGCAGCTGGTACCCTTAATTGCTGAGCTATCTCTTTAGCCCATCTTGACTATTCTTGAACAACTGTAACAGATGGACTTTTTCCCCTTCAGACAGGGGAAAATGTGCCAGGTTGGCTCTAAACCCCATATGTAGCTGAGGGTGACCTTAAGCTTTTGATCTTCCTGCCTCTATCCCCTCTCCCAAGTGCATGCACCACCATTCCTGATTTATGTGGTGCTGGGGTATCCAGCCCAAGGCCTCATGTGTCCTAGGCAAGCACTCTACTAACTGAGCTACTTTCCCCAGCCACAGATGTACTTTAAAAAATTAATTTAAAGGCAGTTTATTATTAAGTGAGACAACTTGCAGATTTCTATCAAATAAACAAACTGGGGGCATCGTTGGCAAGTCAAACATCAGTAGCAAACATTTATGAAGCACTTATTATGTGCTAAGGGTTTTCTTAAGACTTGCAAAGTTTTTTTGAGCTGGGCATGGTGGCACCGGCCTATAGTCCCAGCACTTGGGAGGCAGAGGCAAGCAGATTTTATGTGAGTTCTAAGGCCAGCCTGATCTATATAGTGAGTTCCAGGCCAGCTGAGGCTACAGGGAGACCTGTTTCAAAAAGACAAAAAAAAAAAACAAACCAGTTTTTTTTTTTGAGACAAAAGTTTCACAGTGTTTCTCTGGCTGGCTTGGAACTTTCTATGTAGACCAGGCTGGCCTTGACTTCACAGAGATCTGCTGGGGTAAAGGTGTGCACCACTATACCCAGCCTAAAACAGATAAACTCTAAGGACCTCTCTCCTCTCTTCTCTCTCTCTCTCTCTCTCTCTCTCTCTCTCTCTCACACACACACACACACACACACACACACACACACACACACACACACACTTCGGTATACATCACCAACTACCTCAGAAGGTTCAGTTACGTCCATTCCCAATCAATAACTGCAAGCTCAGAATCACCACTCTGGTACCTACCAGATGAACTCTGGCGCGGGGCACAGCTATTCAGTCAACTTGAGCATCCTGTGCATGCCAAATGCTTACACTCTGAGGAGCCAAACAGTCCCTGTCCTTGGGGCTCACAAATTAGCCAGGTGGAAAGTCAGAACAGGAATCCCAGCAGCCTGTGCCAACAGTCAGATGAGTGAGAAGTCCAGACACATGTGAGGACCGTGCGTTCCACTGGGTCTTAGGCGAGGAAAAGCGTGGAGGCTCAAGAGAGGAGACAGTACAGTGGACTTGGATGGATAGGCGGGAGTTTGTGCAGAAGAGGGGAGGACAGAAAGCTTCCTGGAAAAGTTAGGCTTAAGAGTCTGAGGATTCTGGGAGGGAAGAAGAGGGGCACCGCTTTGGGCTCGTAAAGTCACAAAAAGCCTCTCTGAACACATCTGAGTTGGGGTTTGAATTGGAAGTCAGGGAATATGCCGGAAGAGGCAATTAAATTAAAAAGGTCTTATTACGAAATAATACAGGGATGTGATATTTGACTTGGTCTTCTAGGGAAGAGCGAGTACTTTCACCAGGTTACTGGAGAGGCGCCACCGGGTCCAGCGAGTGACCGAGAAGTTTTCCTAGAGCCACTCTACCCGACTCGAGATGAAGAGTCGAGGATCCGAGCGTGTAGACGCGAGGCATTCGGAGGACTTGCCCGCGTGGACAGCCTGGGAGGCCGACAACCCGCAAGCCAACCGCACGAGTTTGCGGAGCGGGGCCACAGCGTTGAAGGCTTTATGTCCGAATCGACCAATGAGCTGGCGACACCCGGTTGCCCGGGCAACGGGGCGGGAGGGGCGGGGCCAAACGGCGGGGCGGGGCTTATATAAGTGAGCGGCGGGCGGAAGGTGGGGCGTGGGTTAGGTGGCTGCTGGGCTCGCGGGGCGCAGGCCGCCGGGCCGGAGCCGGGGGAAGCGAGCTAGCGGAGGCACCGAGGATCCGATTCACTCGCTGGGGAGACCTATGGGCCGAAGCCGTGTAAATGCGTTTTAAGGCGAGTGCAGGGGATGGCTTGGGGGAGCCTCGGGGAGCCGGCGCCCGAGGCTTTGGGGTGCTGACCTGCTTCCCGGACCTCCTTGCCTCCTCTCAGCAGGGGCCTCGGCTCCCCAACTGCCACTCCTCTTCGGGGTGTCGCACAAGTTTCGAGGTCACCGGCGACCCCCCCTAGCAGCGCACCTGGCTCTGGCCCCCCCGAAGGAGGACGGGCTTGGTAAGGAGACCTGGGGGTGGGGTGCGGGACCCCGGCCCTGCACTCGAGAGAGGGGTCCCGCGGACAGAACCCACCTTGTAATGCCCCCGTGCACACTTAGCATTCCAGCATATCAGGATCAACCATTTACAAACGGGGAAACTGAGCCTCGAGAGGCGCAGGAGAGTACCAAGGTCACACAGCAGAGCGTGGACTCGAACCCGAGTTCCTGTTCTTGGGCTGAAAAATCTCTGGCTTTAGCTCCACGCACCTAATAGGTGAACGTGGTCAGGACTAGGGGAGTCCTGGACACTTCCCCACCGGGGTTTCCCAGATTGTCTGCTCCTGCGCTCATTCTTTCCCTTCCAAGCCAAAATGTCAGAACTGAAAAGAATCTCCAAAGTAACCCCATTTTACAGATGGGGGCAATTGAGGACCTAGCAGGCACGACATCACGGTTCCCAGTAAACCTCAACTCCTGGAGCCTGTGCTGGGGGATGGAGTCGCATAACTGGACAGGGAACCCAGGCCGGGGGAGGTGACAGGAGCAGCAGAGCCTGTTCTCCAGCGGTCCCTTCCAACCCCCCCTCCACCCCCCCACCCCGCAGTGTGTTGCATACTTTCTAAGGCGGTGGCCAAGGCAGCCAGCAGCACCAAGGCAGCGGTTCCATCCAGCCCGTGGGCTCCTCCTGCTCGGCATGGCTGGCTACCTGAGTGAATCGGACTTTGTGATGGTGGAGGAGGGCGTCAGCACTCGAGACCTGCTGGAGGAGCTCACTCTGGGGGCCTCACAGGCCACCACGGTGAGGGGCTGGGAATAGGGGGGTGGGTCCCCTCATTGTGTCATTTGATATTTCCAAGAGTCTGGCTCCTTTTATCCCCAATTTTCTCTTCTTGCCCGCACATCCGCCTCTCCTGTTACCTGCTTTGAAGAAGGATTACCACCAGCACCTGCATGTTCTCCCCCGGCCCTCCAGGTGGGAAACCTGGGCGTTCTCCCTTCCTCATCCCTTCTCTCCCACATCCAGGCATCCCCCAGCTCTGTGAAGTCCACCTCCCTTAATGCTCTAGGAAGCTCTCGGGGAACTTTCCTTTGTAGTTCAGTCTTCATATCTGGGAGCCCTCAGGACCTGCTCCTTCACCACCACCCCCCACCCCATCCGCCCGCTAGCGCTTCACTGCCCCAAGATCAAGTCTGTCTCTACAGCCCTATTTCTGGCTTTAGAGTCCCACAGTCTGAGCTTTGCTCCTTCCCGGCAGCGGGGTTGAGTCGCTGCGTTCATACTTCCCGACGATGCATTGTGCGGTCTTACCATGTGTTTGGGGGTGGGGGCTGTGCCCTTAGTCACCCTTCTCCCAGCCTCCCCCCCCCCCCCTTTACCCCTGTCTAGCATTCTTTCCCAACACGGTTGCTTTTTCCTGACCTCTTCTGGCAGGTTTTGTATTATCACTCTCCATGGCCACCAATACATTTTGCAGAATATCCCATCTAGCACTTATTTATTGAAGGGACTTATAATTACTTAAGGGTGCTTCAAGGTGTTGAGTCTTCTTTGTCCCTTAATTATTATATCTGACACCAAGTGAGCATCAGTTTAACAAAATGTTGCATGAAAAGGAAACTGAGTCCCAGGAAAGGTTCACCCACAGCCTCATTTATGCTTATCCATCTGCCTGTCTGTGGTGATCTGCAGACCTGCTTCATGGTGGCAGTGGGATGTGTACCTGCACGTGAAAGACAGCCGGCTGTAGGCCACAGCTTCTGCCTTCCAGGGACTGAGCCTTCTGTGGCACAGACAGATGAACATAGAGTCCTGCTGTTTTGAAAGGACATGCAAAATGTGGCCAACTTTATTGATTAGTCTTTTGCTTGGGAAAGGTGGCATTTGGGCTGAGTAAAAGTAGATTGGAATTTTGCCAAACCCAGCAGAGGGCATGATGGGAGTATGGGCTTGGAGGTGGAAAGGAGAGTCAGCTTTTAGCTGATTTTAGCTGGGTTGAGGGGAGGGGCATTTACACAGTTTTAAATGTTAGACTGAGGTTGTCTTCCATCCTGGAGGCTGTGGGAGACCCAGAAAGCTACAGCAGGCCAGCTTGGTGACCAGAGCTGAGCTGGGGGGCAAGTCTGGAAGGACTGTGGACAGCATGCACAGGGAGGGAGCTGGGTGGGGGGGGGTCTCACATCCATTCACCTCTTGCTGTGCAGGGCAAGGTGGCTGCCTTCTTCATGGCCGACCTAGGTGCTGTAGTGAGGAAGCACTTCTGCTTTCTGAAGTACCTACCTCGAGTCCGCCCCTTTTATGCTGTCAAGTGCAACAGCAGCCTGGGTGTGCTGAAGGTCCTGGCTGAGCTGGGGCTGGGCTTCAGCTGTGCTAACAAGGTGAGCCCCTTTGTTCCTTCTGTGCACTTAACCTTGATGCTCACCAAATGCAGCGCTAGTGGTATTGTGAACCCTGGGGAACAGGAGGGACCTTTAGTTGGCTGTTGCCTTCTGGGAAGGCCACCTGCTCAAGAGGAGAGGAGGCTCCTGGGTGGAGGGAAGGAGAAATGAGCATGGAACTTGTCAGCTCTGAAGTTTCACTTTGGAAACTTAGGTATCCCTGGGCATATGGGTTATTTTTTTTTAATGGGTTTTAAATTTATTTTTTCTTATTATTGATTAATCATAATTTCTTTTGAGACAGCAACTCTTCTTCCAGGCTGGCCTTCAACTCACTATGTAGCTAAGGCTAGCCTTGAACTCATGATTCTCCTAACATCCACCTTCCCTAAATGCTGGGACTATAGGTGTGCACCACGATTGCCTATTTTTCCTCTTTAAAAAAAAAATTTTTTTTTGCTGCATGGTGGCTACACCTTAATCCCAGCACTCAGGAAGCAGAGGCAGATATCTCCGTGAGATCAGTCCAGCCTGGTTTGCACAGCAGATTCTAGGCCAGCTGGGGCAATAAGGAGACCCTGTCTTAAAAAGATTTTAAAAAATTAATGAAACATTAAGTTTATTATTTAGAAAATTTTTAAAATTTAATAGCAGTTTAAAAATGTCTTGGCCTAGAGCAATATGTGATAATCTTCTAATTGAAACAAAACAAAAACACTCCTATATTGTTGAATTTTAATTTTTTTTCCTTTATAATCTTAATGTGTGACTCTGTTTTTCTAACTAATCCTCTTAGAGTTTTGGTGCTGCTGCTGCTGCTGGCTCTGTCGTTCTAATTTGATGTCTGCTCTTTTTAATTCCCTCCTGCTGTCCTTTGATTGGCTTTGCTGGTAGAACATCCACAGTTAGGAGCTACAGTGTTAGTAACTGGCTGGGTGGGGCTGGCAGACTAGCACCCAGCAAGTTTCATTCTGTTTTTACTAGCTTAGAAGCCTTTCTGGCTCGAGTATATCTCATTCATTCATTCATTCAGTGAATTTTTACAATGGGGCCAAATATTATTTGAACTGGGAATTTAAGTATAAATAAAACAAAACAAAACCTTTTTTTCATGGAGCTTTCTAAAGAATAAAACTGAACAATGAAAATATGCACCCTTTTTAGATAGAAGTAGAGAACATTGGATGATCAGATTATACTTCTGTTTTGAGGCAGGGCTTCCCTATGTACCATAGGCTGGCCTGGAGCTCCCTATTTAGCACAGGCTGGCTGTGAACTCTTGATCCTCCCATTTTAGACCTCTGAGTGCTGGGATTCTGAGCATGTATCATCACATCTGGCTGGATTGCACTTTTAGATAGCTGTCTAAGGAGATTGAGCCAAGTGGAGAATTAGGGGAAGAGCATTCCAGGCTGAGGGAAGAGCCAGTGCCAAGCCCTGAAGTGGAAACCAAGCCTGCTGGGCATTGCTTAGTGATGTCAGCACCATCACTTTTTTGATGATTAGTAATGGCTGATCTGAGGAGAACCCCTTTTAACTCCTGACCAGTGGACTGACTGGAAGTTATGAGGAGAGTCCTAGAAATGATTCCCAGAGGAGAAAGGAGGGACGCTAGCCTGGGCAGGACCATAGGACTGGAGTGAAGATGTGTACACTGAATGGAAGTCAAGGCTAACCCTTGCAGGGACTGGTTATTGCTGTTTACTCTTTGTGACTGAGAAGTCTCTTCTTATTTCCCACATCTCATTTTGTGTGTGTCTGACACAGCCCTGTGAGGCACATGAGGGGAGACCAGCCTACAGCCTCCTGTAGGATGGTAGGTCTCCCTGAAGGGGTAACAGGGGACAGGATCCTTTGGTTCCCCTGAGCTAGGGTTGAAGGATAGGACCACTGACTAAGAATCCTCTATGTCTAGAAACCTAGGGGTGAAGTGCTTGGTCCTCGAGGTTTGGAGGCTGGCCTCTAAAGGACTTAGATGTGGGGTGTGAAGACATAAAAAGACCTTGAAGATGGGGTGTGGAGTGGGGGTATGTTAAAAACTTCTGCCACAGCTGAGTGCTTCTCCTGGGCCAGGCTCTTTGCCAGGCGCTTTCCGTGCATGATCTCATTTTATTCTTGCAACATCTCTGTGAGATCATTCTTTTACCAAGATTCTGACAATCCTAAGAGGACACATTTAACATATAAGGAAGTGAGTCACAGAGACTGAGTGACTTGCCCAGGGTCATGCACTTGGCCTCTGTTGTTGTTGCCTTTTCCAAGACCCTCCGTGAGAGGTTGGTTGAGAAGGCACAAGTGGCCGATGTTGAATATCCTGACCCTGAAGTGGATCATTCGACTCTTTCATGCTTTTACTGAGTGTTGGCTCCCAGAACTTACAATCCAGGTTTCCCACATGTAAGGCAAGCCCTTTACCACTCATCCCCATCTCCAATGCCCTTATGATTATTTTCTTTTAAAGGGCGGAGGCTGCCCTCTTTTGGTGAGTCACAGTTAGTGGCCATGCTTAATGCCTTCAGAGGCCAGAAAAGGGTTGTTGACGCCCCTGGAACTGGAGTCAAGGATAAGTGCTGACTGTCACTTGGGTGCTAGGAACAGAACACCACTCCTCTGCAAGGGCAGCCCACTGGATTCTGTCTTAAGCGCTTAACCACTGAGCCATCTCTGCAGCCCCTGGATTCTGTCTTAAGTGCTCCTTCCTCTTAAGGCATTTCATTTCCTCCCATTGCTTTGAACACCCTCCATTCCCCACTGCCTCCCTCATTTGCGTGCTCACCTCAAGCCTGCCTACCCAGCTGGTTTGATTTGTGCTCAATCTCACATTCTCACGCTCGCCCTGCTTGCCAGCCTGCCTCCGGAGCACATCTTCCCACCTTTCTAGTGGCTCCCAGGGAGACTGTGACAGCCATGGACCAGTCTTCCTAGAATCCCATGAAGCCTGTCCTCGGGTGCCAGAATAAATACTTAGGGCTTATACTTAAAATGTAAAACTGGCTGGGCATGGTGTTTGCATACCTTTAATCCCAGCACTGAGGAGGCAGAGGCAGTCTCTACGAGTTGAGGCTAGCCTGGTCTACATAACAAGCTCCAGGCCAGCTAGGGCTATATAGTGAGACCCTGTCTCAAAAAACAAAGCAAAACAGAAAGCAAAACTGACACCTCTCTTCCCTCACCTCTCTCCCTCCGTTCCTCCCTCCCACACTCCTCCCTTTCCTCCGTAGGGTCTATAATAGCTCAGGCTGGCCTTGAGTTCCCTATCACCTCAATCTCCACAGTGCTCGGATTGCAGGTGTTCACAACTGGCTATCATTTCTCCTCTTGGACCCTTGCACAGAGGTAACCAGTCAATCCATATGCAGCTTCTTGGCCCTTAGATGGCTCTTACAGAGGACCTGGGTTTGATTCAGAGGACCCGGGTTCGATTCCCAGCACCCACATTTTGGGTAACAGCTGTCCATAACTGTAGTTCCAGGGGAACTTGATGCCATCTTCTGACCTCTGCAGGTATTGCATAACACAGGCACACTTACATACATGCAGGCAATACACTCATAAACATAAAAATAATAAAATATTTTAAAAAATAATCAGGAAGATTAAATGAGAACATCTCTAAGACTGTAACACAGTGGGTGACCTGAATGACACTTATTGTTTAAATATTTATAACTGAAGCTCAGTCTTGGGTCTGTGTGGGGCCGTCTTTGCTTCTCACCTTGTGTAGGGAGGGAGGGAGCAAAGCCATATTTTCACATCCACCCGGACTTGGAGCGGTGACAGGGAGGCAAGCTGTGGTGGCCACAGGTCCCCCTCTGGAGTTGGATCTTTGTATTCCACACTGCCACTTATTGTCAACATTAGCACGTGGATCGCTCAAACTCAGCTTTCTCTTCTGTGAAAGGTGGCCAGTGAATACTTCATAGGGCTGTTATGGCCTCACATGAAAGACTATGCATAAGCACTTAGTGCTGAAAAGTTGCTGAGTCAAAATTAGACACGATGGCTATAAATGGGTCTTGTGTCTCCTACCACATTTCAACACTGGCTCTCTCTGGACTGCCTTTGTCAGGGAGAGGCATGTTTGAATCTGGAAGTTGGTTTCGTAACTTACTACATAGCTTCTTTTTTTCTTAGTCTTTTTGAGACAGTCTCCCTGTAGACTCAGCTCTCCTGGAACTCACTATGTAGACCAGGCTGGCCTTGAACTCAGAAAGATCCACCTGCCTCTGCCTCCCTAGTACTGGGATTAAAGGCGTGCACCACCACGCCCGGCTATAGCTTCTTTTTTTAAAAAAAAAATTTATTGTACTTTTTGTTTGGTGTGCATATGTATGTGTGTGAACTCAGTGTGCATGAGTCTGAGGTCGGAGTACAGCCTGAGGGAGTCTGGTCTCTCCTTCACCATGTGGGCCCCAGGAATCAAATTTGAGTTGTCAGGGTTGGCAGCACTGTGCCATGTCACCGGCCCTGTATAGCTTCCTGAGCATCGGTTTGCTTCTTGTAGAACAGAGATACCCATGGACGGTCAGGACTGAATGAAACAGTGCCCCTAAGGCAAGTCAGCAAACCGTTAAAAGCAAGCCAAATCCAGCTCACCTTGTCAGATCACTACTGTGCTCATTCATTTACACATTGTCGGTGGCTGCTCTGGTGCCACAGGGCAGCTGAGATAGAGATGGAATGACTTGCAAAACCTAAAACAGTGACTCTATAGGAAATGTTTTCTAGTACCTGATGAAAAGCATCTTGTTTAGGTCCTGCTTGTAGCAGGTGCTCGGGGAACAGGTACTTACCACCACCACTACTGCCACCACCACCACCACCATCTCCATATCATTAATTCAGCAATCACGTGAGCCCTGGTCAGTAAAGGTGAAGAAAAGCTGCAGAAACCAGAACAGGGCTGGAGATACAGCACTGTTGGTAGAGTGCTTGCCTCACATGAGCAAAGCCCGGGGTTTGATCCCCAGCACCATGTGCAACAGGGCGTGGTGTGCATAACCGTGGAGGGAAGATCAGAAGTTCAAAGTCAACTTCAGCTACATAAGGAGTTCTAGTTCAAGGCCAGCCTAGGTTACATGAGACCCTGCCTCAAAAAGAAAAACAAGGGCCCACAAGAGGACTCAGTCAGTACAGGCCCTTGCCACTAAGCCTGACTGACCCACAAGACGGGAACAAAGAACCAACTCCTGAAAGTTATCCCCTGACTGCCACATACGCTCCCTCCAAATAAATAAGTACATGTAATTTAAAATTAAAATAAGACAAGAAGCAACATTCTCCTCCCCTTGAAGCAATAGTAACAAAAAGGTAAGGAAGAGGAGACCCAGGGAGAGGCTGAGTGAACTCACCTGGGATACCACACCACACAGCACAGGCTGTGTGGACTGGATGATCTGGGTCAGAAAGACTCTTGGTCTTGCAGACTATCTGTCAAGTAATATATATGGCACACAGCATAGTTTTAAGATATGTATACATTGTAGAATGGACACATGCATTAACTTATTTTTGTGTGTGATGAGAACTCCTGTCATCTTGTCTCAGCAATGTCTCAGTTATGTAGTATGTGGTTGTCTTGATGCCCAGTAGATCTGTTGTTGTTGTTTGTTTAAAGATTTTATTTATTTTTGTGTGTTTGAGTGTTTTGCCATCACATGTCTGATGCCCTCAGAGGCCAGAAGAAGGCTTCAGACAAGCCTAGATTCCCTGGAACTAGAGTTATAGGTGGTTGTGAGCTGCTATGTGGGTCCTGGGAATCAAACCCTGCTCCTCTACAAGACAAGAGCTCTTAGCCTCTAAGCCATATCTCCAGCCCCACCCACTAGATCTCTTGAACATAATTCCTTTTAATGGAACATCCTTTGACCAGCATCTTCTCACAGCCTCTTACCTCCTCCACTCCTGGCAACTCCCACTCTCTTCTCTGCCTCTCTAACTTGGGCATTTGTAGATTCCACATAGTTCACATAGGGGCTGGAGGGGTGGCTTAGTTGCTAAAGTGAGGACTTGAGTTGGTAAACAGCCAGGCGCTGCAGCCTGTGCCTGTAATCCCAGTGCTGGGAGGGGAAGGCAGAGATCCCAGGGCTTGCTCACCGGCCAGCCTAGCTCAGTCGGTAAGCTCCCAGTTTGGTGAGAGATCCTGTCTCAGCAAACAAGGTGAGAGTGATTGGGAAAGACACCTGGCCTCCATATGCACGAGCACACACATGCATGAGCACTCATCCACACAAACATGTACACATCATGCATATACCAGCCCTTCCAAAAAGAGAAGTGAGTTCATGTAGCATTATTATTTCTGTCTGATTTGATCTCAATATAATGTGATCTGCGTTCTTTTATGCTGCAACTGATAGAATTTCCTTCCTTTTAGAGATTGAATCAGTAGCATTCTACCACATTTTCTTTACCCACTCATCCATGAATACATGTTTGGGGTAGTTTATGTTGTGGCTGTCGTGAACAGGGATTGTACATAGCTTTGTCATATAGATTTTGGTTCCTTTGGGTATCGACCCACTGTGGGATTTCTGGATCCTATGGTAGACTTGTTGTTTATTTCTTTTGTCTTTTTTATTAGTATTGCATATATTAATTATATGTAATTGGGTTCATTGCGACATTTTCATACCCTGGAGAATGTATCTCGATCCTGTTTATCCTCTGCCCCCCCTCTCTTGTTCCCCCTCCCATCTCCAACCCCAGCCCCCTGTCTACTTCCAGGTCTTCCTTTTTAATCACCTGATGAGTTTCATTAGGCTTGATTATAGGAACATGGGTGAAGGGTTGCTTGCAGGACCGTGGGCACCTTACCAGGGGCTACAGCACTCAAGAAGCTCTCTCTGCCCCCTAGCAACCCTAAGCCTCAGGGAGGGGTGGGGCCCTGTGAGCTCCCCTCTCCCTCCCTGACAGAATGTTCATAGCCCCAGTTTATGCAGGGCCACCATGAGTCTGCATAGCACCTAGGTATGAATTCGAAAATGTACCCTCCTCTTGTTTTTTTTTTTCTTTTTTTTTTTTGACTTTGGAATGTCTGATTTCTTGCCTCTTCCCCCAGTTGAATCTACCTCCCTTCTTTTTGAGACAGAGTCTCACTATGTAGTCCCGACTGGCCTGGAACTTGCTATATAGACCAGACTGCCCTTAAACTCACAGAAATCCACCTGCCTCTGCCTCCCGAGTGTTGGGATTAAAGATGAGGACCTCCACACCTGGCTAAATGTACCCCCCTTTTAAAGACACTTAATTATCAGAATAAATTACTGATTACATTATTATGAGATGGTTTACTGACAGGAAGTTAGAATAAATATGCTAATAAATGTGCTAATCTGCTCTGCCTTTGCTTTGAATGGGGGGGCATTGTGTAGTGTCCCACCACATGACTATACATGGCAGCTGTGGCATCAGAGAATGATCCATCAGTGTTAAGTCCCAATGGCTGTGTATCTTCAACCTTAAAGAGCTACCCCACTTATTTTGATGCCCAATGTGTGGCTATGACTTTGCCCCTCATCTGACTTCCTTGGGCTCCTCTGGCCAACAGGCCCTGGGGCCTCCTCACCACCGCCTTTGGAACTCCACAGGCAGAGATGGAGTTGGTCCGGCATATCGGTGTCCCTGTCAATAAGATCATCTGTGCCAACCCCTGTAAGCAAATTGCACAGATCAAGTATGCTGCCAAGCACGGGGTGCAGCTGCTGAGCTTCGACAATGAGGTGGAGCTGGCCAAGGTGGTCAAGAGCCACCCCAGTGCCAAGTAAGCTGAGAACCACCCATGTGGGGAGGCTGGGTTGCTGGGGAGGGGCAAGGTGGGAGGGGGAAGCTAGGGAGTGGTTACTCTGGATCTCCCTTGGGTCCCACCTCACTCACAGGAGGTTAGAGTGGTACTCCTTGACTAGACCTAGATCCAGGGTCTGACTAGATCAAAGGCAATCCCAGAAAGGTCAAGGTTACAGCTTCTGGAAGAGTGACTTTTAAAGTGGGCCTTGAATGAATGGAATTTGGGGAGGCATAAATAGTGAATGTTCGGGGATAAGCAGAAGTGTGGTATTACTAGAAAGCACCATGTACGATGGGTGAAGGACAAAGAATGGCACTGGTTACAGGGCAGGAACCCAGTGCAAATGGATTCTGGAAGGGGTCAAGGCCAGATATTCTGCTCTGGCTATAGCTTTGACTGGTACTTGGCACTTGAAGGAATCCAGATCGGGCCCTGGGGGAGCAGCAAGCTAGGTGGGGGCCATCTGGTTCACCCAAAGCAGCATCCCTCATGTTTTAGGGTTCTCCTTAGAAGCTTGTTTGTTCCCTTCTTGTGTGATACATCTGAAACAAAATGAAAACTGGTCTGGACTGACTGTGAAGAACTGAGTTGCCCAGGTGAGGGCTGGTGAGGTCTGGACCTGGCAGGTTCTGCAGGAACAGGTCCTGGGATGTTTAGAAATTGGGTAAGGCAGGACTCAGAGGTTTGTTGGCAGTGCAGGGTGACCCAGGAAGCTGAGGGCTCAGTGGCCTTTGATCTTTGTGGTCCCTAGCTATTGACTTCAAGGAGAGGTGGCTGGGTTTGGCAGTTGGGGCTCACACATCAGGGGTGCTGTGTCTTTTCTCAGGATGGTTCTGTGCATTGCCACCCAGGACTCCCATTCCCTGAGCCAACTGAGCCTGAGGTTCGGAGCTTCGCTGAAATCCTGCAGACTTCTGCTTGAAAACGCCAAGAAGAGCCACGTGGAGGTGGTGGGTGTGAGGTGTGCACTGCGAGCCGGCCGCCCTGCTCAGGCCAGGCCTGCTGCCTCTTTCTAGGGCATGAGACATCCTGGGACCTCCCTCAGAGCCTGCCCTTGGGTCTGGAGTTCCACCACTGGAGTTTCCTCTTTCTAGATGGAAGGTTTATAGGTATCCTTCTCTCCAGTCCCACGGTCCCCAGAAGGTCTTGTCCCTGGAGATTTCACCCAAGGACATGGCCTTGAGGAAGTCTGCCAGCCTGTAAGGCAAAAGTTGTGCAGCTGTGCCCTGGAGCTGCCTCTTTTCCTGCAGAAATGGGGCGTGATAATGATCTAGTCTTCTTTTTTAAAAAATATTTTTATTATTTTTATTTTATGTGTATGAGTGTATTGCCTGCATGTATGTGAGTGCACCCGTGTTGTGCAATGTGGCAGAGGTCAGAAGAGGGCTTCAGATTCCCCAGAACTGGAGTTAAGGACGGTTTGTAGCTGCCAGGTGGATGCTGGGAATCGAACCCGGGTCCTCTGCAAGAGCAGTCGGTGCTCTTAGCCACTGAGCCATCTCCCCAGCCCAATGACCTATTCTTTAACTTAACTTATTCTGTCCTGTAGCTCAGCACTGACTGCTTCATGCAATATCCCATACCCTTGTGCAGTAAGGACTCTTCTCCCCATTCTATAGATGGCCAGGCTTAAATAAGACAGGTGGAGCAACTTGCCCAGTCCATGCACTGACTGACAGGCATAGCCTTATCTGGGTACCTTAGGTCCCCCCAGCTCTCATCCTGGAAGGCTTCTCTCTGGGGCAATGAGGAGGGACAGGAGAAGCACCCAATGCCTTCTGTCTACCCCTGACTTGCCACATGGCCCCTTGTGTCCACTTAAATGTTTTAGACCTCAGATACTGCATCTGTTAATGTGGGTACAGTGGCTTCTGTGTTGCTCCTGCCTAGGGTCAATATGGGAGCACCTGGACTCTGCATGTAAGCCGCGGCTTTTTCTCCCTCCCCAGTTTTCACATTGGCAATGGCTGTCCTGACCCTCAGGCCTACGCTCAGTCGATTGCAGATGCCCGGCTTGTGTTTCAAATGGGTGCTGAGCTGGGCCACACGATGAACATTCTGGACCTTGGTGGCGGCTTCCCTGGCTTAGAGGGAGCCAAAGTGAAATTTGAAGAGGTAACTCTGTAGCCAGGGGGTAGCTTGATGGCTTTTTGCGGGTGTAGGAGGGGTGTAGTGCACACAGGGAGCCTTTGGGGCCTGTGTACCATACACTGGCTTGATGTTTTCCTGGATTGTGTTGCTCTTTATTAACCCTGTGCTGTGGCTCAGCTGGAGACTGCGGAGACAGCAGAAGACTGCACCCCTTGCCCTGCCTGACTCTATCCTATCCCTTAGCCGAGTCTTGGCCAAGACGTACTTATATCCCATAAGCTCTTTGAGGGTCTGAGTGCACCTTATTCATCCTCCAGGGCTGATGAGGACTCTGGTGGGAAGGCAGGCGAAGGCAACCCAACCTTTCTATTGCTCTCAGCCTAGACACCTCACTCCCTATGAGAAGAGGGCAAGAAAACTGTGTCATAGCAATCCCCACTCTATCCCCTAGGGGTACATCTCCTTAGTAATGGAACAGTTCCATAGTCTGTACAGATAGGAAGAGACCCTGAGGTGGCATCTCCAGATGGGACCCAAGGAATTAGTCTCAAACTTGAGAGTTGTAGCTTTGTGTGTAACAGAATTCTGGGGGGCTTCCCTGCACTATTGAACACTCAGAGTAGTTAGATTATAATGATAACATTTCTTCGTGTTGGGAGGACATTCCAGAGTCCATTGAGTGAAAACAGGTTATATACACACAAGCTGGGCTTGGTGTTGCACGCCTGTAATCCCAGCACCTGGGAAGTGGATGCCGGAAGATCATGAGTTCGAAACTAGCCTGAGCTACATGAGAGCTCTCAAAAAAACAACTCTTCTCTTCACCAAAAAAAAAAAAAAACATATAACTCTGTTGTGTTAATAATGAAGAACTAGTGTTTGCATAAGAAGAATTAAAGGATCTACTCTATAAAGGCCATAATGATCATGTTCAGCAATCCTGGATGACAGATGTAGGGTGAGCTTTATCCTTTTCTGTCTCTGCATGCTTGGTGTTTCTGGAATCTAGTGTACAATTTAATAAGCTGGTTAGGAAAGAAAGATCTATAGCAGGGTATCTAGAATCTGAGCAGGTATTACAGGAAGAATGCCCCTGTCTATTGAGGGCATGATAATGGCCTATTCTTTAGATTAATTTATTCTGTATTTCAGGCTCAGTGCTGACTGCTTCATGCAATATCACACTGAGGCCATTGAGGACAAGCATGTACAAGCATGAAGGTCTCACCCCAGCCCTGTTCCCTCCTACCTTCCTGGCTAGCTGTCCCCAGGAACCAGCTGGTTCCTTCGCAACTGCCAAATTCTTCCTGAAATCCAACCACCCCCAACCCCTCTCTGCCAGATTGCCTCCGTGATCAACTCAGCCTTGGATCTGTACTTCCCCGAGGGCTGTGGTGTGGACATCCTTGCTGAGCTGGGCCGTTACTACGTGACCTCCGCCTTCACTGTGGCTGTCAGCATCGCTGCCAAGAAGGAGGTTCTTCTGGACCAGCCCAGCAGGGAGGGTAGGTGCCAGGTGGGCAGCGGAGCCCAGGTCTCCCCTGAAACTGGGCACAGTGAGTGGCCGAGCAGGAGCAGGGCTTCTGGAGAACAGGTTGCTTGCTAAAGGGAAAGTTGCAGTTCATTCCCCTCCCCCCAAAAAACTCCCCCCGCCCAGGTATATTTATATTTTATGCAGATCTTAGGGTGAATATTTTATTGACTCCATCTTTACAGATGAGAAAGCATAGGCAAAGGGAATATAAGTGAATTTCGTCAAAGCTAGCTAGAGGTGGAGCTTGCATTTGACCCCACGTCTGTCTCTTCTCCGAAGTACAGGCTCCTTATTTTTTCTCCTAATTTCATAAAAACAATTCGTGACAATGTATTTGTTGATGAATACTTTTCAGAGGATGGAACATAGGTAGGGAGAGGTTAAGTCACCAGTCCAAGGTCACAGGACTGATAAAGTGCAGTGCTAGGATTCATCTTCACCTTGGGCTGACTCAGATTTTATGTGTCCACACTGCTAGCCTCGGTGCCCTTTCTTCTGGAAAAAAAAATCAGGCTTCTCAGAGAACTCTCTCAGAGCCCCATGACAGGTGTCAGTGAATCTGATCTGGGGCTTTGCCCTCTGCTCCAGGGGGCCTCACACAGGAGAGCCTCAGAGTGGTGTGACCTTCCCTGGAGACAGCTTTCTGGGGATCTGGGGGCTCCAGGTAGCAGGGCCTGTTCGTGCGCATGTGTGTAGATGCATGCGTTCTTCAGTTCACCTTTATGGACCTCAGAGTTTATCGTCTAGCATAGCCAGAATACCTGACTTCTTTTTATCTTTTTCTTCCTTTCCTTTTTCCTTCCCTTCTGTTCCCTTCCCTCCCCTCCCCTCTCCTCCCTTCCTTTCCTTTTTTTTGAGAGAGGCTCTCCCCCTGTCTTGGAACTCACTGTGTAGGCCAGACTGGCCTTGAACTCACAGAGACCCACCTGCTTCTGCCTCCTGAGTGCCGGGTTTAAAGGCGTGCACCACCATGCCCAGCCCAACACCTGGCTTCTTATTTCACTTTATCTGTTCCCTGTCTTGTACCTCTAAGCCCATGACCTAACCTTCTGGTGATCCGAGTTTGGGTGGTTTGCTCTTCTACTTTTGAGAGGGACTTTTAGGGGCTCAGATACAAATGGGAATGTGTCCTGGCAGTGTGACTCAGCTGCGAGGGGGAGTGTTCTCAACATAGACATGAACCCATGTCACAAGGATGGCTTTTAGTGGTGTCTGTTGCAGGACCCCACCCCATAGTTGAAGAAGGGGCAGCCCTTTGGCCTCACAGCCCTGTCCTCATCACTGAGCCCACCATAGTGTCAGCTTCCTTCTTCCAGCCCCTTGATGTTCTGCCCCATCTCCTCCCCTCCTCACAGAGGAAACCAGTTCAGCCCTCAAGACCATCGTGTACCACCTTGATGAAGGCGTGTATGGGATTTTCAACTCAGTCCTGTTTGATGACACCTGCCCCACCCCCACCCTGCAGAAGGTGAGTCTACGCCATGTGCGCATGCCTTCATTATGTGCCCATGTTTCCATAGTTTAATCTTTTGTGCTTTTATCTGATTTTTATTTAGTTTCTGTGGTGCTGGAGATCAAACCCAAGGCCCTAGGCTTGCTGTTTTATTTACTTTTCTGTTGCTGTGTGATAAAACACCATGACCAAGGCAACTTATAAAGGGAAGAGTTTGTCTTATGATTCCAAAGGGATTAGAGTCCCTAATGGTGGGGGAGGCATTGTGACAGATGTGGCTGGAGCAGAAAGCCAAGGAATCACATCTTCAAGTAGGCACAGGAAGCAGAGAGTGACTGGAAAATCTGGCAAAGCTTAAGAAGTCTCAAAGTCAGGCCTCAGCGATGTGCTTCCTCCAGCATGGCCACACCTCCTAAGACCTCCCAAAACAGCACCACCGACTGGAGATAAAATGTCTATGTACTAGCTGGGCGTGGTGGTGCATGCCTGTAGTCCCAGCACTTGGGAGGCAGAGGCAGGTGGATCTCTGTGAGTTCAAGGCCAGCCTGGTCTACATAGTTCCAGGACAGCTGGGGCTACAGGGAGACCCTGTCTCAAAAAAAAAAAAAAAATCCAAATACTTTGAGCCTATGGGGGACGTTCTCATTTAAACTACCACATTTGCTAAGGAAGTACTTTATCACTGAACTGTATTGACAGTGGGAAATGTAACTCAGTGCTAGAATACTTGCCTAGCATACTGGAAACCCTGGGTTCAGTCTCCAACTCCCCCCTCAAAATTAAAAAAGTAGACAAGGGGGAGCTAGAGTGATGGCTCAGTAGTTAAGAGCACTGGCTGCTCTTGTAGAGGTTTGGTTCTCAACATAGGCATGGCGGCTCACAACCATCTATAACTCCAGTTTCAGGGGATCCAACAGCCTCTTCTGGCCTCTGTGGGCCTTGCATGACATGAGTATAGCTTACATACAGGCAAAACACTCATACACATTAAACATAAAAATAATAAAATATTTTTTAAAAAGTAGACAAAGATCTGGGCATGGTGCAAACTTGTCATCTCGGCCCTCAGGAGGCTAAGGTAGAAAGATTGTGAGTTCAAGTCCAGCCTGAAAGCAACGATGAAGTTGCTATCTGGTTTCATCATGCAGAGATAGACTCTGTTACAGTTCTTCTGGACTGTGCATTGCATTTGTTTTCATAATGTTGGATCATATTGTTTCATAATCTGATTCCCTTTTTACACCACTAACTCATCTTAGAACATGGTTTTCTGTGGCTACGTAGCATTTCAGCCAGTGAAACCCTGGTGGTTGGCCAGTTGGCTTCCTGTTTTGAACATGGTGAGTTGGTCTTGACAGACGTCTCTGATTACCACTCAGGAGTAAATATCTAGAAATAGAAAGCAAGTTCATCTGTCATGGGTTTTTCATAAGAGCCGGGGAACAAGAACAAAACATGGGGCCTCCAGCAACGTTAGTGGGCGTGGTTGAGAGGGGAAAGAGTCACACCATTGTATCCTCCCGTGTCTACACCTCCTGGGAGCATTTCCTCCTTCCAATCCCTTGCAGGCAGGGGCAGCCTATTGCTTCCTTGCCTAGGGGCCCACATGTTGTGTGTCATTTTTGGGTTTCATCCCAAAGCTAAATATAGTTGCCGGTTATATCTGCTTGTCTGAGGATGCCTCCCTGATACCCAGAAGAATTCAGTTTTCTATATTCTGTCTGCATTATTGTGACAGCCCACATCCTACTGCACAAATTAGGGACCAGGCTGGCGTTCTCCACCTCTAGTCCCCACTTCCTTTTCTGATGTTTATTAATTAATTAATTAATTAACTTTTTTGATCTTTTTGAGACAGGGTCTCCTTCTAGCCCCAACTGACCTAGAGTTCGCTATATAGACCAGGCTGGCTTTGCTTTTACAGAGATCTGCTTACCTCTGCTTCCCGACTACTGAGATTAAAGGTGTGTGCTACCACACCTGTTTTCCAATTTTTTTAAAAATATTTAATTTTTTTTGTATGTATGAATGCATGTATGCAAGTGCCCCATGTATGTCCAGTGTCCAATGGGGACAAGAAGAGGGTGCTGGATTTCCTGGAACTGGAGGGTAGGACAGTGTTGACTGCCATGTGGATGCTGGGAACTGAACCTGGGTCCTCTGCAAGAGCAGTCAGTGCTCTTAACTGCTGAGCCATCTCTCTAGAACCCCTTTAAATTTTTTAAAAAATTATTATTTTTATTTTACATGTATGCGTGTATTGCCTGCGTATAGGTAAGTGCACCTGTGTCCTGCAACACCCGCGGAGATCAGAAGAGGCTGTCGGATCCACTGGGACTGGAATTATGAACAGTTGTTAGCTGCCATGTGGGTGCTGGGATTCGAACCCAGTCTTCTGCAAGAACAACCAGTGTTCTTAACCGCTGAACCATCTCTCCAGCCCCAGACCTCCTTTAAATAAAAAAAAATATATATTTATTCTTTGATAATTTCATACATGTGCACAATATATTTTGATCATCCCTACCCCCATCTTTCGCTCCGGCTTCTCCTGACATCCTCCAACAGTCCTTCCCACCTTCATGTCCTCTTCTTTTTTCTCATCCCACTGACTCCAATGAGTGCTGCCTGCTGGAATGTTGACTGGTCTCGTTGTCTTGACCTTGTGCAGGTTGTGTGCAGGTAACCATGGCTACAGTGAGTTCATAAGTGCAATGGCCACGTAATATCCAGAAGACAGCACTTCACGGCCTCCTCACAGCCTCCAGCTCTGGCATTCTTTCTACTTCCTCTTCTGTGACACTCTCTGAGCTTTGGGCAGGGAGTGTGTGTGTGTGTGTAGAGCCTTGTGTGGGGTGAGCATTCAGTAGTCACTCATTCTCAGCACTTGATCTAGCTGTGAGTTTCTGCATCACTGTCCTTTGCAAGAAGAGGCTTTTCTAGTCAGTTGAGGGCAGTACTAGTCTGGGTATAAATGTAAATATTTGGAAGACAGTTTGCCATGTCCATTTAGCAAGACAACAGTAGTGCCCCCTCCCCCAGGTCCTATGACCTTCCTAGCCATGGGTTTTGGACCAGGTTTATAGTACTAGGCATGGATTATCTCCTGTGGAACAGGCCTGTTTTTGCTTTTGTGACAGGATCTTGCTGTGTAGCCCTGGCCAGCTTCTACCTTGTACCACGATGTCCAACCTACAAGTGGTTTGTATAGTTGATTTGCTACCCCATTCTTTTAAAAATTCAAATATTTGAATGCCTTCAGTATGCAAAGCACTGTGCCGAGACCTTCCATGAACAGTATGTAAGAACTGTTTTTATCTTGAAAGACGATTCTGCTGGATGGAAGCATGTTTGTTGCATACATTTGTATGTATGTCTCTGTGTATGTGATTAATACACAAGATACAGTAATTTACTGAGCAAACTATGGAAAAATACTCCTGGATTTTAAAATAGATTTAGGTATATATCTGTAAATGATAAAGACTGAAAAATCACAGTTCTATTACGTAGTTAAAAATTCTGAAGCTGGGCGCGGTGGCACATGCCTGTAGTCCCAGCACTTGGGAGGCAGAGGCAGGCGGATCTCTGTGAGTTCAAGGCCAGCCTGGTCTACATAGTGAGTTCCAAGACAGCTGGGGCTACAGGGAGACCCTGCTTCAAAAAGACAAAAAAAAAAAATTCTGAGTATAGCCAGGTGTGGTGGTACAGGACTTTAATCCCAGAACTCCAGAGGTAAAGGCAGGTAGAGGTATGAGATTGAGGCCAGCCTGGTCTACATAGTGAGTTCCAGGCCAGTTGAGGTTGCCCCAGAACAACAACAACAACAACAACAACACAACTATGAATAGCTCCCATTGTCCCTCTTTAGTCTTCACATATCCCCAACGTTTTTATAGTTGATTAGCTGAAGTCAGAAGTAAAGAAGGTCCTCATGGTACATCTCATAGCTATATCTCTTAATGTAGGGATTCCCCTACACCCTTAACATTTTTTTTGGATGATGTATTTGGTGATTTGGGTGATAAAACTGAGTTATTTGACTTGTAGTGCTTCGTGCATGGGTAGGTTTCCTGTATTTCTCTTCAGTGCTGTTGAACATTGTGTGTGTGTGTGTGTGTGTGTGTGTGTGTGTGTGTACGTACAGGTGTGCTCACTCCTTGGGTATGTTTGGAAGCCAGACAGAGGTCGATGCCAGGCTGACTGGCTGATCAATGAGCTCCTGACATCTGCTTGTCTCTGCTGTCGCCCAGGGTTACAGGTGCTTGCTCAGGTCCACATACTTTCACAGCAAACATTTTATCTATTGAACCATCTCCTCAGTCCCCTGAACATGTTTTTATATGCCTGGAATTTCTTTGAAATTAGATATCTAGATTTGGCAGTGTAAACTAATTCACAGTCAGTTTTGGATAAAAATATTTCATGGGAGGTCTTGGTATTTTTCTTAATCATTTACCACCCTGGTAAAAAAGAAATTTCTCACGGGGAAAAAAATCACTATCTTGACTCATTCATTATCAGTGTTTTCTTTTTTAAATATAATTTTATTATATCCAGATAGATTCCTAAAATGCATTATAATTTATTGCACTTACTGTATTCAGCTAAAACCTGTCTAATTATTTCATATTTTAAATTATTTACCTGTAGCCTCCTGGAACTCACTATGTAGACCAGGCTGGCCTTGAAGTCACAGAGATCTGCCTGCCTCTGCCTCCCAAGTGCTGGTACTAAAGGCATGTGCCACCACGCCCAGCTCTATTGCACTTACTTTTTACTTTATAAAAAAGTATTATGTAGCTGGGTGTGGTGGCGCATGCTTTAATCCCAACACTCAGGAGGCAGAGGCGGGTCTATCTCTGTGAGACTGAGGCCAGCCTGGTCTACATAGTAAATTCCAGGCCAGCTGGGACTAGAGAGAGACCCTGTCTCAAAATATAAAAAAAGGTATTATAGCTCTATTGCACTTACTTTTTACTTTATAAAAAAGTATTATGTAGCTGGGTGTGGTG